GAGATTGGGCTAAAGACCTCCACTAGGCTTTTACCCTGATCAAGGCTGTATTATTTCCATGAAAGTCATGGTAACTCTTTAAAAAGCACAGGGTGCAGACCTCGCGGCGCGGGCCGAGGCTGCACCGGAGGTACCACGTATCTCCCCCCGGGCGAGCAGGACTAGCAAAGCTGCTGGAGCTTCCCAACCAGCCCCAGCAGAGCACGTGCCTGGAAATAATTGGGGACTCAGGGTCTAATCCCATTTCCCAACCCTTCACCCACGCCCTGAGTAGTGTATAGAACGTGGCATGTCGTAGGGTCGTGTTACCCCCTGGATACCAACACCCCATTCCCTGGGGCGTGTGGGCACAAGGAGCTGCAGCAGCACCACCAGCACCACCAGTGCCGTGGGTCAGTGTGTCCCAGCACCCTTGGGCTCATGGCTGTGTGTCCACCCCGGCGTGGTGAATCCGTGGCTGTGTGTCCACCCCGGCGTGGTGAGTCTGGTTTGCTTCATGTCTCTCAACTAGTTCTGCCTCTGCAGCCTTCAGGTGGCACCTGGATTTGTACACTGTGTATTTATGTTTGAGCTCTGATGTTCTCTTTCTGTACATAGTCTCTGGGGGGTTTTATCGCTTAGTTTGACGTCACCTTTCCATGTCACTGAAGAACGGGACAGAGTACTTAAGTTTCTTCTTTTTTTTTTTTTTTTTTGTTTTGTTGGTTTCTCATGTAATTTTCTTTTGTAATTTAAATTTTTCTTGGGGTAGACTGGAGAGAGAGAGAGAACCCCAAACTCCTGAGGATGGTTGCACAAGAGGTCTGGGCACCCTGGCAGAAGGGAAGGCAGAGTGAGGGGTGTGGGAACAGCAGGGCCCTGCTGGTTTGGGTGGGTTGGGACCCAGGAAAGGAATTGTTTTGTGCCCTGCCCTCCCCAGCTCTGCTCTGGGAGGTGACCCCGAGGGGTGGCATCACCCAGGGCTCTGCAGGGCCCTTGACCTCCTGTCACTGTCCTGGCTGAGCACTTGGGCTCACTGTGAGGCACAGCAATGCCAACCTTGTCTTCCACCCGGTGCCAGGGATGGGTGTCGTGTGTTCCCACTTGGCATCCTGGGGCTGAGTGTCCCCAGGACACACCTGAGTGTCCCCAGGTCACACCTGTGTGCCCTGCTGGGACACAGAGTGGGTCTTGCCAGCAGAAAAGTCTGGCTGAACTGCACACTGCAGATCTCTGCCATGGTGAGCAGAGGGGACACAAGGGTGGGCAGAACTGTCCGTGGTCAGCAGAGGAGACACAAGGGTGGGCAGAACTTCTGTCCATGATCAGCAGAGGAGACACAAGGGTGGGCAGAACTTCTGTCCATGGTCAGCAGAGGACAATGAAATTGCAGTGAGGCCCAAAATGCTCACCCAGAAGCCCCACAGAGCCTTCAGATTGGAGGGGAGAGTTTTTGTCTATTTTTATGTATATTTTTATACTGCTCGGGGTAACCTCAGTACCAAAAGTTTCTTCTGGGTTGGGGGTTGAGTTCAGTAGCACAACTTAAAGTGAAATTACTCTTTTGGGGCATTTGAAATGCTTATTTTTTTATAAGCCTGGAGACAATTCTAACCACCACAACCTGTGTATAGATGTGATGTAAGAAACCAAGTCTAGTGGAAGTTTTAGAAGCTGTCAAATAAATTCCTGAAGGATGATATAGAAATCCTCTAATCTGGCACCAAGCAGTTCTGTGTGATTCTTCCTCAGATAAAACCAGCATTTTGCCTACTGAAAAGTTGAGTCAGAAATGTTTTTAGCTGCTGCACCTTGCAGAGTTGCATCAGTGGCTGTTTTCACTCTTAGCCAGCTGTGCCCCTAGAGAAATCTGTAGTGTTTTCATCAGTTAGGGAGAGAAATTTCATACAACAGCAGCTTTGGGGCATAAGGGGAAGGATTGGGGCGTGAGCAGCAGCTCTGCCTTTGGTCCAGGCTCCGTGGCTGGAGCAGAGGATGAGGGTGAAGGAGCAGCAGGGCTGAAGGTTGGGCTGTAGCTCACAGGAGCAGGAAGAACCAGCCCTGAGCTCTCAGGGTGGTGGTGGATCCTTGGCCAGAGGGATGATGCACATTTGGCCCCAGACAGGACAAACACAGGAGGTGTTTGCTGTACAGTCTGAGTGTAGCATCCAGGAGTGTAACACACTCCTGAGCATCACCACGGGATGTTCTGTGAACGTGTTTCAAATGAAGAAGGGAAGATAAATCCTAACTCTTGATATGAAGGGAAGAGCAAATGATTATCTGCAGGGACAGACAGACAGACTGTCCAGTCTGTGTCTTCCCTCCAGGAAGAAGTGCTGCTTTGTGGGTTTAGGACGGGTTTGTTTTGCTTGGTTGTTCCCATGTGGATGCATTTTCTTTGCTCTCCTGGTGTCCCAGCACATGCTCTGGCCATGCAGGCAGCACAGGCTCTTGGCCTTCCCTCCCTGGCAACTTTGCACAGGATTTTATTGGGGTTTAATACAGACATAGATATATCTAAACACAATCAGCAAATGACTGAGCCTTGCAAGTGGAATTTGCCTCATCCCTTCTTAAGAATCCAAGAGGGAACAGCTCGTGTTCACTCACCCCAGGGGTGCCAGGAGTACCTGTGGCACACAGGTCTCTGACCCAGGAGCTGTGGGATGCAGTTTGACCTGAGAGAGCTGTACCTGCTCTCCCTTATCAGGCAATCCAAAGCTGTCAAGCCCTGGGAGAGATAAGAGGGTGAAAGGTCCAAGTGCATGGGAGGGGAGAGGTGTAAAACACTGGCAAAAACCACAGTCCAAGGATGACAAGGTGCAAGATAACAAACTGGAATGAGGGCTTGGCCTTCCTGCCACCATCCCCTCCAGCAGATAAGGGAGATCTGCTCTTGGCAGAGGCAGAGAAATGGGCACTGAAGGCACAAAGAGGCAATTCCTGGTCACAAGGTCTTCTGGAGAGAGGGAAATTCTTTGCCTTGTGACAATTCCCTTGAGCAGCCTGAAATCTCTGTGGCCTGAAGCAAAGGAAATGCATCTGGTGTGGGCAGGGGAGGCATAAAGCCAAAGACTGTGTGGCTGCTAGCAGAAACAAGTGCTGTAGATTCACCTGATGTTGTTCTGTCGTGTTTACAATATTTATTTTTAGTGATTGACTGCAATGATATTATATATAGGCTTCCTTATTTTTGTACTTTTCATACCGTTTTCCTGAGTGTGGTGTTGTACTGCTCAGCTCCCCTTGGCCACCACTGCTGCTCCTAGTCAGTGACTTCAATAAAAGAGAGAAAAATAAAACAACCACCACCCAGTTCTGGGGGAATTGTCATGTGTGTTTGGTTTCTGTGCAACCCTCAGCAAGGCTTGAGGAAAGGCAACTGTGCCCACCCCACCCGATCCCCTGGAAGGGTTTGTCTCCTTGCACTGATCTCCCAGCCAGGAGGGTGTGGGAGGCACAGAACATTGCAGGGACCAAGGGAAGGACTCATTAGTGTCTGGAGAGACACACCAAGATGAGTTCCATGCCCCACATCCAACGCCCTTGTGGCACTGGAGGGTGATGTGTCCCCAGGACGAGGGGAGCAGAGCAGGGATGGCCTCAGGAATCAGCAGTGTGAGGGCAGAGCAGGATCAGGCCCTGCCTGGGGGTGCAGAGCCCTGAGCTGCACAGCTCAACCCACAGCAGATCCCAACCTGGTGCTGCCAAGCACCTGGATTTGCTGGGCCTGTTCCCCTCTGCCCCTGGTGCTCCCCACGGAGTCAGCCACGGGTTTGGCTCGGTGGGTCTGGGTAACACCAGCAAACTGCTTGGCTAAACATCTGCCCCCCAATTTCGATGCTGCAGCAGCTGAAATGCTTCCACTTCCTGCTGCCAGGGAGGTGTGACGTGGCACAGAGCACGAGCTGTTCCCAGCCAGGAAGGAGACACAGGCACAATTCCACGGGAAGTCATTTACTTGACAAGCTGCCACGTTTTTCCAATCTTCCCAACACATTTTAACCCTTGTTATAAAGTACAAATGGTTGAATATTCATCTGACAGTTTTAAAAAAATAGGCTAAAGAGGCAAAATTTCCCACTTTGAATCCAAAAAGTCCTGCTGTAAGAATTGAGACTTGACAGACAAACAACAAAACTCAACACAGACAGGAGAAAGTGTCCTGGATACGACTCACCCACCACACAGAGGGGAGAGGAATTCCCTTTGCTCCCAGCTCTGCCCTGGGATCCTGTGACCTTGCTGGAGTGATGTGAAGTTGATGTTCCACATACTACTCAAAAGGCACTCAAAGGTCACAAGTTCCTGAGCTAAGGGGATGAATTCCCAAGGGAACAGCTAGGACAAGCCCCAGCAGAGGTGCAAGCACTGGTATTTGGTGTGTGAGCAGAGCTGCTGCTGGCAGGACACACGAACAAGGACATGGGAGTTAGCTGCAGCACGTGGAGAAAAAAAAATTCACTTAAGAACATTCTCATTAGCAAATTAAAGCATTTGCTGCAATGTTAAAATAAGACCAAGAGCTGCAGAACAGGCTTGAAAACAAACAGGTTGAACAGTTAAACAACCAAAGTTGAGACATTTGTACACATTATTTGGCCCTAATGGAAAAGGGCCAGGAAAAAAAGCAAAATATGGATCTGTTACCACAGATCAGTCCTTAAAACAAACAAGTAAAACACCCAAACCCACACCACATGCTCAGGATGCCACAGCTCAGCTCCCAAGCTGTCACTCACACAACATTCCCTACTTCCAATTTGGCTCAGTTTTCACCCAGAAAAATCCAAGTGTGACATTTCTCAAACATGGAATGGCCACGGCCTGAACAGAAACACAACAGAAATCCAAAAGGTAACAAGTTTTGGCCTATCTGGTTGCTGATCTTCCCCTCAGAGGTGCATAGAGTACACTAAGGCCAGGGATGGTAGCTACAGTGTAAGGCCTGGTGGTCCCAGTTCCGTGTCCATGGCTGGAGAGGAGGTACCCAGGGGGGACAGGGTCCCCTGGGGGTCTCAGGCCTCCATGTTATCCAGCTGTGCCTCACCATCTGCCTTCTTCTCTGGAGATGTGTACAGGAAGTTGCAGCAGATGTAGAGTGGGAATGTCAGGAATCTGCTGTCCAGATTCATCACTATCTGCTCCTGGAAGCACACACCTCATTAGCACATCCTGTCCAGTCCCTGCTCTCAGGGCTGGCTGGAAATAAGGGCAGGGGATCTCTAGAGAACTCCACTCCTCTCTGAGGCTCTTGATTTATTTCAGAGTGATAAATCTACCCCTGGAACAACATGCAGACACTGTTAACTCTGCAAATCTGCCCCTTGAAGAACATGCAGACACTGTCAACTCTGCAAATCTACCCCTGGAACAACATGCAGACACTGTTAACCCTGCAAATCTGCCCCTTGAAGAACATGCAGATACTCTTAACTCTGCAGCTAACAAGAGTCTTCAGACAAGCCCCAAATTTGCCTCCAGATGAGGGTTCTGATACCCAGAGGGGTGATCTGGGAGCCTGGGAGAGCAGAGACACCCAGAACACAGCACTGGCAGCAAACAGCAGCACCACAGGCACTAATTTCACTAACAGGGGTACTAATTCCACATTCCCAACACTAATGAAGCTCACACTCCCCTTTCTCTGGTTCCACTTCACAAATGAGCTTCATCACCCACTGCCTGTAACAGAACACTTGAGATTCCACATCAGCCATGACAATAAAACAGCAATTCCCTTTCCAAAGGGTTGGTGACTTCTCAGCATTTTTTTCCATGCCTTGGACCCCACGATTCACACCTCAAAAATGCACAGACATACCTGGTCCTTCTCGAGGGTCAGGATCTGATATCCTGTAGTCCGACAGCAAACCATCTTCCCACTGCTGTCAAACGAGGCCAGACGTAACCTGGGGCACAACAGTGAAATGACTTGAGTCTTCCATACTTTTTCCAGTCAAAGTTTCTCCCAAAGAGGCACAGAATAATGTTTTTTAGCTTAGTGGCAACAAGATTTAATGCAAGGGGAAAAAAAAAAAAGGCAGTGCCTGTTCTCCTGCACCTGGCACAGGTGAGGCCTCGTGAGTGCTATGTCCAGTTTGGGGCTCTCACAGCAAGGAGGGGCTGGAGGTGTCCAGGGAAGGGAATGGAGCTGGGAAGGGGCTGGAACACCAGGAGAGGCTGAGGGAGCTGTGGGGGCTCAGCCTGGAGAAAAGGAGGCTCAGGGGAACCTTCTCACTCTCTCCAACTCCCCAACAGAAGGTGCATCCAAGTGGGATCAGGCTCTGCTCCCAGGGAACAAGGAACAGGACAAGGGGAAACAGCCTCAGGCTGGGCCAGGGGAGGTTCAGGTTGGACATCAGAAGGAATTTTTCCATGGATAGGGCTGTCAGGCATTGGAATGTGCTGCCCAGGGAGGAGGTGGAACCACCATCCCTGGAGGAATTCAAGGAACAACCGGACATGGCACTCAGTGCTCTGGTCTGGCTGACACAGTGGTGATGGGTCACAGGTTGGACCTGATGGTCTCAGAGGTGTTTTCCAACCTGCCCAATTCTGTGACAGAGCTGAAGAAGGCACTGCAGGCCCCAGCAAGGAGCTGCTGTTACCTGAAGGCGATGTTCCTGCGTGGCTGCAGGCTGACAGCACCACTGCAGGGCTGGTTCAGCGTGTTCCTCTTGAAGATGATGTAGCGGTTGGTGTAGGTGACAAGCAGGTCAAAGCCAAAGTTGAAGCCTGTCCACCTCCAGCAGTACTGCAGGCCAAGCAGAGAAACCAGCCTGAGTGTTGGCTCTGACACAGGGGTGAGTGTCACGTGGATGGGACGTGCCAATTCCCCAAGAGATCCGTGCTGGGATTCTGGGACACAGAGGTGTGGGGGGAGCCAAGGATTCAACAGCAATCCCATGTGGGAGGTACCTTGGGAGGAAGCACTTGCAGCCAGGTGACTGTGAGAGCAGCTGAGAGTCAGCTGAGTGTCAGCTGCATCCCAGACTACAGAAATACACTGACCACTGGAGGGACTGAGGCACTGGGAGCAGCACAGCCACACTCAGAACCCTCTGTGGGGAGCAGTGTCCTTAGGGTGAGTGACTTCAGCTAGGAACACTCCTGTCTCCTGCTCTGCACAAGGCCTAAGGGCACAGATGTGTGTGTGCAGCACACAGAGGCTCTGGCTGTATCACCCATTTTCTCTAAAAACCTTCCTTTCCCAGCTCACAGCACTGCTCAGAGCTCTGTTAACTGCCTGGAATTTATGTGCCAAGCCTCAAGTGACAGGTCATGGCTGCATTTGCTCCACACACACTAACAGCTCTAGCAAACACTGTCTGACTCACAGCACAGGAGCACAATGAGACACCAGTTCCTCACTCTCTGCAGACACTGCAGTGTTTCCATGCTCCTGGGAGGGATTTCTGCCTCAATTACACCTCTTGGGTGCAGTTTGACACTGGGGACACACGTGTTGTGTTGGAGGTACCTGCCACATGCCACACTTACATCCCCATCCTTTGCCAGTTTACGGCCACACCTCATGCTGTTTCCTTCCAGTTCCTCTTTATTTATTTCTTGAGGCCTAAAGAAAGAAAAATAGAACATTTTTTAAGGAGACTTCGACAGCTTTGTGTGGTATCATCAGGTGGGAAAGATGAACAGGTTGGAGTAAACTGGTCTGACCACACAATCGTGGCATATCCTGAGTTGGGAGGGACCCAAAACTGACCCTTTTCTGAGCAGAGGTGTGAGCAGATTAGCTCCTTCCCTCTGAGCTGTCCTGTGAACATCCAACACACAGCCACAACACAAACCAAGTTGTGACACTTCATTTGGGACTTGAACTTCTCCAGAGAACAACCTAAGAGTGGTCCAGGCCTCACACAAACCCTGCCTGAAGGCACAGCCAGAGAGGAGAGCTGGTGCTGAGGCACAGCTGCAGGCCCTGCTGGAAAAGGCACCCAGGAGACACAGAGTTTCTCAAGAGGCTGTTACACAACACATTTCCCCAGTGCTCATCAAACTCTCAGCTCTGTCACCCGACACTGACTTGTTTCACTCCACAGCTCCAGCCTAGCAGAGCCAGCAGGAGTGAAATCAGCCCCGAGGTGTCAGACACACTGACATCACTAACCAAACATCCCCCACTGCCACAAGGTCTTCAAGTTCCAGCAAGGCCAAGTGTGTGCTGTGAGCTTTGGAAATCAGGGACACCAACCCCTACAGAGTCACATTGCAAAGCTGCAATAGCCAACAACATCCTCCAAGTAATGCAAGAAGAAATGCATCAGTTCCCTTCCCCCTGTCACACTCCACCTGCAGCTGAAGCTTTATGGGCTTGGCCTGGCTCTTGCATCCTGCCTGGCTAAAAACCAATCCTGAAGGGTGAAGTGTTTTACAAACAAGTTAAGCTCCTCAGCATAACCAAATTTGCCCAAGAAGTTGCTTCCCACATCTTCCAGCTGAGCTGGTTCTGTGGCTGAGCTGAAGGCAGCAGTGGTGATAGAGGATTTGTTTGTTTAATTAGTGACAAATTTCACAACCATTAGTCCCTAACGCTCAGACAGACATCAGCACCTCCTCCAGCAGTCTCAGAACTTCAGCCCTGACCACTTCCACAGCTGCCACGTGGCAAACAGTGCAGCTATTCTGCCTCCTTCTCAAACACTGCCACAGACAGTTACAGTAAGAATGTTTCCAGCCCTCTGTTCCTATACACACAGTGACCTGGAGCCCACCTGGAACCACACACTTGGTCAACTCCTAGGCAGGAGTTGAGACACAGAGTGAAGAAACACATCTGACCACACACCAGCACAGACCTTGGCACTGAGCAGCAGCAGCAGAAGAGGCTGGGCTAGGCCAGAGGCTGTTGTTACACCAAACTCCCTCTGGCTGAGGTTTCCAGTTTTAGAGAAATTTTCACAAATCTCAGATTGCGAAACTAGACGAGCAAGAAAAACATGGAAAAATACTCTGCTTGTTCCAAGAGTCCCTAAAATTGTCAGTGCTGAGGTTGATCTTTCCTGAGCTGGATGATCCCCCTGATCCTCACTGCAGCTCTGTGGAGCTCACCACAGCAGCACATCCATCCAGTGGCTGAAGTCACTGCAGAGGAGCTACCAAACACATCCAGAGCAGCAAACACAGGGGCTGACTTTGTCCCACAGCTCTGTGACTCCTAACACTCCCTTCCACACTAACTGTGGGTTCCTGTGAGGCACAAGGTAACACCCAGAGTAGGTTTGGCTACTCTTAGATACAGCCACAGCAGCACTGAGGATGGAAAGCTCAAGGAATTAATTACCTTTCCCAGTCTCCACACACATTTCCAGGCAAAGTACTGGTGAGAAGCACTAACCAACACAAAGGAAGATACAGGGTGGGGGTGTGTGTCCCCCCAGGCATTTACCTCTGGTCCCATTAGACCAGTTTTCCAGAGTTCTGCTGGTGTAGAAGCCTGGTCAGCCTTAGGGAACAGACAGTTCCACAGGGAGCAACAGCTTAAAAACACTGCTGAGTGATTCCCTCCCCAAAATCCACTGCAATACACTTCCCCCTCTCCTCTTCACACAGATTCCCAAAGGAATCATGGCAGAGTTCACATGAGAGGAAGGTTTCCAACTGGAGAAAGAAAGAAAAGCCTATAAAATACCTACCCAATGTCATTGTCTTGTTCTGCTCTGAGCATGGCAAACCACTGCTGTTTGTAAACAGAGGACAGCCACTCTAAAATCAAAAGAAAATACATAAACTTGGTGCTGGGAGCAGCCACAAACACTTGAAACAGAGAAAGTAACTACACTGAAATCATCCAGTTATACCTGTTAACTGAACCCACCCCCTGGAAACTCCCTGTGTGCTCCTGCCTCAGCCACAGGAGAAGGGACAAACACCCAGAGCCACCAGGCAGGAACTCAGGACTCTTCATCTCCCTGAGCATTCACCACAGCTGATGCAGCTCAACATGTTTGCTCAGCACTCACAGCCACAAGGAGCTCCTCAACAAGCTCTGAGAGAAATGCTGTTTTCTCAATCCCCAATGGAATGTTACACCAGTTAAACAAGAAGAAAAAGGATAAAAGAAACAGTGACTTGCCACAGATTTGGTAAAACATACAGAAATTGGTCCCTACTAGGAATAAACACAAATCTTCCTTGGAGAGAGCAAAGACTTTATCAGCTGTGTTGATGTTGTGACTGAGAGAGAAACCAGAAGAAACTGAAGAGGTTGTGAGTCAGTTAGACAAAAGGAACCCGAAGCACAGGGGGGTAAGAAGTTCTCAGTGAAGATAACAAGCAGGAAAGGTCACAAACCAGCACAGGCTCTGGAGAAATGGGCTGGGGGAGGGAACAGGGGGAACCACTGTGACCACACAGACAACACAGAAGAGGATGGGTGTGCAGGAGGGAGAGGTGAGATCGTGGTGCTCAGAGCAACTTGCAAGTCCCAGATGGAAAAGTTAAAACCAGCCCTTGTCCTGCTCACTCTAGAGTGAAAATCCAGACTGCCACAAGAGCATCCTGGGAATTAAACCAAGCACAACAAGGCTAAAAATGAGTTGAGGGAAGTGACACAGAGCCCAGACAAGGAATGGATGACAAGGGAAGGAATAAAAGCATCTTCTCTGTGTATCTATTCCACACCTCATTCTGACTGCAGTTCACCTGCTGATTTGTAAACACAGAGAGGGAAAGTAGAGCTCAGGAAAAGCTCAGAAGTCACCAAGAGAAACAGATCAGCCTGTGCTCACACACACACACACCTTAAGCCTTCCTGCCTCTTGCACCTTTCCTGCACAAGGAACAGACTGTTGGCAACTCCTAACACTGAGCTGCACTTTTCTCCTGCAGGTGCTACACACACACACAGGGCACAGAAACAGAGCCATGACAAACCACAGCATTACTTTCAGCTACTCTGTGGGACTTCCTTCTTCACCTCCTTGAGAACAACTTCATCCAGACTAACCTAGAGAGTTTCCTCCAGAGTCCAAACCACCCAGCAGTGTCCCTGCCTGCACTCTGAGGGACAGAGCATCCCCTCAAATGCTGGGTGCTGTTCCAAAGGGCAGGCTAAGAACCATCTAAACCTACATGTAAAGGCTGAGCATAAGTTCTGCTCTTGGCACAGCTTTGGGCTACACACTGGTACCAGCAGATGACAAGGGATAGCAAGGAGGAAGTTCTGACAGCATCACTTCTTCACACAGGAGCTCATCCTGCACTTCCCAGAGCCACCCCAGTGCTGTGCCCTGCCACCCAGTGCCACCCAGTGCCACCCAGTGCACACCACTGCTCAGTGCAGCTCAGGGACTGCTCCACAAGGAAACACTTTGCTCTCACACCTCCTAACTAGGAGAAAAGGCGCCTGGACTAGGAGAAAAGGACACACTCTGTCCAATAAGCACAACCAAATCGGCCTCAAAACTGCAATGAATCTTGGAACGATTCTTGCCCTGACACACACGGATAAAGGGTCTGGGTTTGAGAACAGACACAGCATTTGGGCACTGAAGAACACTGAGCAAAGGTCAAGCACAGCTTGGGAAGGGGTAACAGCAGCAACGTTAAGAGAAGGAAATCAAGATGTACTAGGCATTGACTGAGAGCATTTTGTCCCTTCTCTGGACACCTCCAGCCCCGCAGTGTCTTTGTGGGGGTGATGGACCCAGAGCTGCCCCAGGCTCTGAGGAGCCTCACCTGTGCCCAGCACTCACCTGAGGGCAGCAGGGCATCTCTCTCAACGATCCTGGCTGAGGCCAAGTCACTGATGATGTACTGCAGCCTCAGGTGTGCAAACACAGGCAGGAATGGACTCCCCTGCGCCGACTCCAGGGATGCAGCGCCGACCCCAGGAATCCCACGCCACCCCCGAACTCGGCCAGACACAGCACCTCTATTACAACTTGTTTTCCCAAATATCCTCCAGACACTGCTTGTACTGCAGTTACTGTAGGCAGGGAAGGCACCTCCTGCCACTAAAATGAAGTGATTACATTCAAATCCCAAACCAAGGCCAACTCTTCCTACCTCTCCTGCGCTCGGCAAACCAGGCGTCAGCTTCGCCCAACAGCTGCTTGAAGAACCCATTCCAAGAAGGCACAAGCTGAAGGAACATCCACTGGGAAAATACACAAAATCTAGTGAGTCTTTTGAAGGTTTCCACCTGGCAGGATCTGCAGAAGCTCCAGGGAAGCTGGAGAGGGACTCTGTGCTAAGAACTGCAGGGACAGGACAAGGAGTAATGGGGAGAAATTGAAAGAGGGAAATTTAAATTGGGTCTTTGGAAGAAATTCTTCTCTGGGAGGGTGGTGAGACATTGGCACAGGTTGGCTAAAGCCTTGAGCAACCTGCTCTGGTGGGAGGTGTCCCTGCCCAGGGCAGGGGGTTGGCACTGGATAATCTCTAAGCTCCATTCCAACCCCTGAACATCCTACAAAAAGTAAGTGATCCATGTATGAATCAGGGACATTTCCACAGTGCATTAATTCCTACAGAGGCACTGATGCTTGACTAAATACTTTCAGTCCACAGCACACATGAGGCCCCAGCCTGGCCCCTTGCCCAGTACCTTTTTGAGAGCTGTGTACACATCCATTTCCACCTGCAGCACAAACAGGTTCGAGGAGCTGATCAGCTGTGTCATGAGGCTTATGCTGAAAAAGATCAGGCAGAAGAGTTCAGGGAGACAGAAGGGAGAAAAAGAAGGGGAGGTAGGGAACAAGCAACCAGCAATAGCCCAAAAGTGATCTGTAGTGAGCTCAGACTTGGGCAGAGATTGTCTTTCAGCCCCAAGTACCTGAGTTCCTTGAAGAGGACAACACTCTGGTGAGTCATCAGGTTGTTCAAGAGCCACTCAAGGCACCTGCATGGAAAACAAGGAATTAGGAATTTTGCTTGTTTCATCTCTGTGTCAACATCCCTCACAGAGCCTGATCCTGCCCCACAGGATTGGGAAATGCTGCCTTAATCTGAACCAGAAATGCATAAAAATAGGGAAAAAAAGAGTTCTTTCCAACACAGGAGGTTTGCCCCAAAGTTTTCTGAAACTCTTTTTAAAGTTGCACTGAGTCTCTCCCAGGGCACAGGGAAAACTGAACTCAAAGGGCTGTTAATGCCACACACAGGGAGGCAAATGTGGCATCAGCTCCCAAATGTGGCATCAACTCAGGGTTCAGCTTCTGCCATTTGGTGCCAGAACAGTCCTTGACCACCAGTGTCAAGCACCAGTTGAAGACTGTCCCTCCTGATATCCTCCACAGCTCACCCAGCCCCAGCAGAGACCAACCAAACTACCTCAACCCACACTGGTTTTAGGGAACTGATTACAGCAGAACCTCCATAATTCAACAGGACAAGCAAAGCCCAAATCAAGGAGCTTTGAAAGAACTAAACTCAGAGTTACTCTGGGCATTACTGAACTGTTTGTAAATCCCAGTTCCTTAGCAAAGCCCAAAGCAGCTTAGAGCCAGCAATCCTTACTTTTTCTTCACGGAGTCCAACCCGTACGTCCCTGCAGAGTTATAGTAACCACACACAGTCTGTGCAGTGATGGTTTCCTTCATGGTTTCTCCACATTGCTGGATTAAGCCATCCTGCAGGGAGGAAAAAACCGACATTCCAAGTTTGCATTTTCCAACAGGAACTGTCACACACTGTGCAGCTCATACAGATCTTTGTGCCTGAGCCACCTCCAAAGCCCCACGTGCTGCAGTGACCTGTTACACCTCAGAGCTGTCCTAAGAACATTTCCTGTGACAGAAAAGCTCCAAGAATCCCTTGAGAACAGAGCAAAGGAGCTGCAAAACCTACTGCAACCTGCTCTTAGATATGACTCTCACAGCAGCACTTAGCACCTAAATCTTAGAGCATTTCTTGGGCAAAGCCACTGCTGTGTTTGGGTTTGTGGGTGCAGCAGAGATGAACTGCTCTGCCTCCTCTGCAGGTGAGGACCCAAAAGTGTGACTTACAAGTTGCAGCATACACGCTGCGGCCAGCAGAGCGACCACGCGGCTCGGGTTGATCAGCACGTCGTCTCTGTAGAGAGAGCCGAACGCCACCTGCAGAGCTGCCGAGAGAACAGCCAGACAGACAACGCTCAGCTCGGGCCAGAGAGCCCCAAAACACACCAAACCCCTTCGCTGAACACCTAATTAACGGCTGAGACTCCATCACAGGATCCACAGGGTTGGAAGAGGCCTCAAAGATCATC